CCCATAATGGCAGCTAAATCATCCTCATCTCGACTGACCTTCCGAATCTCCAAATCGTACTGCGAGAGAGCAATGCCCCATGGCACCAAACGGCCTTCAACGGTCTTAGAGTTGATGATCCACTTCAGCACTGAATGTCGGGTGTAGATTATCAGTGGACATCCTTCGATCACGTTCTTGAACACATGGAAAACTCGCATTACAGCGAGGACTTCCTTCTCAGCAATATGATACTTGAGTTCAGCGTCACTCAGGACACGCCCCGTGAAACGAACCGGTTGAACAAGGCTTTATGCATTTGTCCTAGAACTGCACAAGCGGCCCACTGATTCGCATGCGGGATGATCACAAAAGGTTTCGTCCGATCCGGGTGCCTGAGTAGAGGTGTAGACACGATCTTCCTCTTCAGGATCTCGAAAGATTCCTTCGCCCAAGACAAGTCTCGTCCTGCACGCACTTGGTCGTCGGTCAGCTCATAGAGTGAAGCGGCTACCACAGCATAGTCCTCGATGAATTTGTGGTACTAATTCAGGCTGCCTAGAAATGACTGAACTCCTTTCAGGGTAGACGGAAACGGTAGCTCCTGAATTCCTTTTATGATCTTCGTGGTGGCACGTATCCCTTCAGCACCAATCTCATGGGAGAGATACGGTATGACACGCTTCCCGAATTCGCTCTTGGGCAAGCTAACTGAGATACTCCAATACCGTAACCGATAGAGCAGCGCATCTAGATACCGCATAGTTGATCCCACGTGGCTGTCCCATGCGCAATGTCATCAATATACGAACTGCGTCCCAAGACTGACCCCAATTGGGATGGCGCGGGAATGTTGGGCCTGAAAACCGTCATCTGTTCCACAAGTGGTGTCATGCTGCGTTCGACGTTCATCTTTTCGGCGACTGAGGATTCAACTTCAAGTAGCCTAACACATCCTGATCCACGAGTGCTTCCTCTTCGGGTGATAGCCGCACAAATCCTCACAGGCAATTATGTATCATTTGTTGGTAAATTAGTGGGGCGTTTTTCAACCCGAATGGCATACGCACCCATTGGAATTGCCCGAGTGGACAGGTAAACACCGAGATCAACTTAGCTCTTTCAGTCATTCGGACTGCCCAAAAGCCACTTGCCATGTCAAGACTCATAAACCACATCATTCCTTCGAAACCGGTGATGAGATCGTCGATCAGTGGTAGTGGGTAGTTCGACAATTGGATGAAATTATTCACGACTCGATAGTCGATGCACATCTGAATGTCCACTCCGCTCTTCTTGAGCACGATCCCAATTGATGATGCCCATGGCGATTCAGAGTGTTCAATCAGTGTAGCTTCCAGGAGCTTCTTCAGCAACTTGTATACCTTGATTGCCAAGTGTGGACCGACCGATCGGGGTCGTTGGGCAACTGGCCTGGCCTCACCCACATCTAAATCACAGATGACACCCCTCGTCGGAGGTGGAGCAGCATTCCCGTCTCCTAAGAAGATCTTCTTGTGTCTTTTCAGGATGGACTTCAGCTGCTCTTCCTGAGCCTCCGTGCTTTCACCAGGTTCTCCAACGTCAGCCAAGTGTGGACCGACCGATCGGGCTCTTTGAGCAACTGGCCTGGCATCACCCACATCTAAATCATAGATGACGCCCCTAGCCGGAGGCGGGGCAGCGTTCCCGTCACCTAAGAAGACCTTCTTGTGTCTTTTCAGGATGGGCTTCAGCTGCTTCTCCTGAGCCTCCGTGCTCTCACCAGGTTCCCCAACGTCAGCGGCCTCAATATCACATTCAGGAGAGAGATCATCTAAATCAGGTAGCATAACCAACTGATCTTTCAATTGGTACATAAGCTCGCTCCCTTCGCGAATATAAACCGCTGGTTACAAATCGAGTTCTTCAGCGCTCACTCGCATACACCTGGCGTATGCCGCATCAAGTCTTGCAAGTGGTGTTCCAGGCATCGCAGACGAAGGTAACTCAAAATCCTCGTCTTCTGTACTCAGGTCATCCTGGAATACATCGCATTCGGATCCCTGGGCCATCTCGTCTGGGACTCTTCCACAAGGTCCTGAATCGGCAACCTATCCGCCATCCTGGATGTCGACATCTAGGGTGACAAATTCAGGCTGAGGGCGGATGTGGTAAAGTGCGACCGAAATCTCGCGAGAA